AGGGCACCAAAGTTTTGAGTTAATTTTTTCCAATTAGTTGATATACCTCTTTGCCCATAATCAAATTTATCTCAGGCTTTGTCTGCTCTTAGAAGCAGGTGTGAAAATATGAACTCCTCCTAACTTCTATGTCAGAATTATACATCATTGTTTATGCATATAGATTCATCTCTGGATATATGATTAGATTACTTGTACGGAAGGATTTTTCTACAAAGTGAAAGAAAAACTGCAATTATTTCCTGTGGTACAGATTTTCTAAAACTTTGATGGTTGATTAAACAGCATGAAGGAGTCTGATGTGGAGCTTCCTACGGGAGTAATGCTACACAGCACTACAGGTGTTAGTCAATATTCTTCGGTATTGTTTATATAAACTGAAAAGTGCTTTGAAATACTACTACTGTCCCAAAATGTGATAAAATGTATTTGCTTTTCACATGAATGAGTTATTAACAGGAAAAATCACCCTATATTATCAACCTATGTAATTTCAAAAAATAATGAAAGATTTGACAATATATAAAAATACCATAATCAAGTGGGCTTCATCTTAGAATACAAATTAGTTCACATTCAAAAAAATAAATTTATACAATTTACCATGTTAACAGAGTCAAGAAGAACATTATAGGATCATCTCAATAAATGCAGAAAAAGTATTTGACAAAATTCAATGCCTACTGAGCAGTAAATATCATCAGGGAAAAAGAACACTATTTCATAATGATAAAAGGATCAGTTCATCAAAAAGACACAACATTTTCTCTTTCTGTCTCTTCTGGAACAAGTTAGCTGCCTTATTCTAAGGGAGGGGGAGCAGGCAGCCCAATGGAGAGGCCCATGTGATGAGGGACTAAGGCCTGACAACACCCCTATAAGTGAGCTTAGAAGCAAATCCTTTCCCATTGAGCCTTCAGGTGAGATTATGGTCCCAGAGACCTCGGGCCAGAGGAACCCAGCTAAACCAAAACCAGGTTGCTGACTCTCAGAAACTGTGACATAATAAATGTTTGTTGCTTAAAGCCACAAAGTTTTAAAGTAATTTGTTACACAGCAATAGGTAACTATTAATAATACAACCTCTACACTAAAAATGACCAAACAATGGGAGAAATGTTTAAAGTCCTAAATAAATGAGGAGACATGCTATGTCCACGAACTGGAAAACTCAGTACTGATGTCTCTTTTCCCCCAGTTAATCTATGCATTCAATACAATTCTAATCAAAACCCCAGAAGAATTGTAGAAGTCGACAAGTTGGTTATAAAATTTGAATGGAAAGGCAAAGGACCTGGAATAGCCATAACAAATTAGAAAAAAAGAAAATTGGAGGATTTATGTTATCTGATTTCAAAACTTAATATAAGCAAAAAAGCGTGGTAAGGGTAGCCAGATACAATAGAGTTAAGGAAGAGACCCATATTATTAATAATACTTTTTGACAAAGACATCAAAGCAATTCAATGATGAAAGGAAATACTTTTCAACAAATGATGTTTGAATAATGGGATATCCACACACAAAAAATAAGATAAAATAAAAAACTCAATCCTTACTTTTCACCATGCATTAGAAGTAATTTGAAGAGGACCACAGATCCAAACATAAAAAATAAAACCATAATGCTTTTAGAAGAAAACACTGGAGATTATTTTCACAACTTGGGGCCAGGCAAAGATTTCTTAGGACAGAGAAAGCAGCAATCATAAAAACTGATGTTAGACTTCATCAAAATTAAAATGTTTGCACATCACAAGACATCATTAGATAAGTGAATGAGCAAGCCAAAGACTGGGAAAATATTAATAAAGCATATCTGATAAAGGCCTTACACCTTATATCCAGAACATGTAAGTACTCCTACAACTCAGTATCAAAAAGACAAAAATTCTGATTAATTGCCAATAAGCATATACTACACATCATTAGCCATTAGAAAAATGCAAATTTAAACCAACATGAGATAGATAGCACCGCACACAGCAGAATAGCTAAAATTAAAGAATGACACAGCTAATTGTTGGTCAAGATGTGGTGCAATTAAAACTCCCACATAGTGCTGATGAGAGAGTCAAATACAACCATTTGGGGAAAAGGTTCAGTAATTTCTCATAAAACAGTGGTTCTCAAAGTGTGATTCCTGCACCAGTAGCAGCAACGTTACCTGAGACTTGTTGGAAATGCAAATTCTCAAAACCCACCCATGATATACTGAATTAAAAACTCTTGAGATGGCGCCAGCAATCTGTGGTTACCAGCCCTCCAGGTGATTCTGATGCATGCTGAAGTCTGCGAGCACTCTTATACAGCTAAACATACACCCACCCTATGGCCCAGCAATGTCATTCCTAGGTATTCACCAGGAGAATGAAAATAAGTCCCCCCAAAAGACTTGTACAACAATATTCATAGTTGCTTTATTCATAATAACCCAAAATTGGAAACGACGCAAATGTTCACCAACAGAATGGATAAAAAATTGTGGTGTACTCATACAATAAATATACTCAGTAACTTAAAAGAATGAACTATTGCTACTGCTGGCAGCACAGATCTCACAGGCATATGCTAAGCAAAAGAAGCTGGACATAATATATGATTCCATTTGCA